AAGCGAAGACAGGACGTGCACATATCTATTCGCCAGAGACGCGGCCGGAGACATTCCGCGGGACGTAGCCGGAGCCAAAGATGAAACAGGCACCGGAGACGCAGAAACATGTGAGACCACGAAGACTCCCGAAGACCTCCGAAAATCTTGATAATCAATCGGTGAGTTCGATCAAACATCCAGCCGGCGCGGGTGATGACGGCGAAAATCCCCAAAATCGGATGGCTGTAGCGCTGGGGGTGAAAAGACTCCCGCCAAGCAGGGAGGGCGGAGCCCACCCAAACTGACCTCCGGCGTAGACGACGAGTGATAGTTGAGTCCACAAGCCCGAATGAGGAAGACACCAGCGTGATCGACATCATACCCTGCGAATCGGGTCCTCCTTAACACTCTCCACCCACAGAATTTACCCTCAACTGGGAACCTCTTGTGGCCAGGACGGGTAATTCGATGGAAGTGTCACAAGGTTCTTTATAGGATCGATTCCAAGAGGTGTTCTCAGGACTGACACACATGGTGTCCATGGGAAAATGTCCAAGTCAGGAGAAAAAACGTGCACCCAAGGAGATTCGAACCAGTATCCTGCCGCTGACGCCATATGCGAAGGTGTACCGATTCTGGTAAAAGTCAATCGACGGATACCCTGCGAATCGGGTCCTCCTTAACACCTCCGACGTAATTGTAGTTAAGTCTATACTAACAGGATGGTCGTCGTGACGTGATACATTTCTTGTTACTAGTATGAAAAAAAAAAAAATGGCTCGATTTTTGTATTTCTACAGCAGTACGGACCAGACGCCGACTGTACATAAAAGTCGTACGAGTGTCGACTTAGTTGTGCTGTCACAGCATCTTCCACGCACTTCTGCCAGTGCTGGTTTGTTGATTGGAGCCTTGTAGGTCGAGATACAGCCATGAGATTCTCGGGTGGTGGAGGCAAAAGTGAACCAGAGCAAAAAATTGCATGCATGTAGCTCGATTACTACTGTTGTTGTGTTTTTGCTACAGCAGTATGGACAAGACGCCGAACGACGTCCGCGTACTACGGCAACGACTTAACTGGATGGGATACTTCCTGTCACGGCGAACCATAGTACAATGCGATGCAAACATCCGTTCGTGTGTCGTGCGGCTGCCACATGTGTCGACGACAGGTACACGTAGAGAGCTTTCGCCATGTTGTCGTTACCGCGCAGGAGGACCCCTCGGACATCTTCCACATGGTGCTACAACGACAGCAGTACTACTGTACATATATGTCGTAGGAGAGTGGAGTTGCGCTGTCACGGCATCTTCCACGCACTCCCCTACCGGTGCTTGCGTCGATTGGAGTCTTGTAGGCCGAAATACAACACAGGTGGCCAGTGGGCACCGTTTTACGGGGGCGTTGAGTAACCTCCCTGGCCAACGAGTGGTTATTACATGGGATAACGTAGGGGGGTTACAGGCCGAGCCGGCATAACGTGCCCGGATTGTGAAAGCGGTTATCATGCGAGGGTGGGTGTGAAGAGGGGGAGGGAGATAAAAAAGGGTCGAGGAAAAAAAAAACATGTGAGAGGGTTTTCACCTCCTCCCTCTGCTTGTTGAACGCTTGCTCGTAAACCTTATCCATCTCATGAGAACCTGCCTGCAACAACAGAGAAGGCGGTGTTCTATTTACTACGGTATCCCACTCAACTTTTTTTTTTTGCGACATGTGGTTGCATATTTCTTTGCCACTGCCGAAAAAGACCGCTGGGTCTTTAGGCAGTCCATCTTTCGCACTTATCATTTTACACCGAATGACGCAGGACGGGTCGACCTTAATCATTGTTGTTGTTGTTATTGTGTCTTCACATTAAACACCGTTCCGATTTCTCTCTACCCAGTACCTTCATATGTCCGTACTTGTGGATTTCCTGTTGGGAGTTGTGGGAATCCCTTCATTCCGAGAGAGTCATAGGTCGGCATCCGGCCTTTCCTTTTTTTGAATGCACTTTTCTTCTTGTGAAGTTTTGGCGTTGCGCTTGCCATCGTCGCTTAAGTGTTTGTGTCGTCAAACCTTCTCAGCCGGCCTTCAAACTTCTTGTTGATAAGTCTCCGTGGTAACTTCTCCGCGCATGAGTCATATGCAGTTATGACCTGCGCTTTGAATTTCACGATGGGTATTTTACCTCCCCGTCTTGCACTGGTGAGTACCTGCGTTATACGAAAGGATCGTTCCACGACGCAAACGTCGACGTCTCCTTTTGTTTTTTTTTCCTTCGCACTCCTTCCTTGCGGCGGTTTTCACACCGACTTCGAACGTGGGGTGCAATTTTCTCTCTTCGTACCTTCCTCGTCGGCCTTCTCCATCGTTATGTACATAACGTATACCTCGATTTGTCGGCTTTTCGATTCCGATAGACAAGACTACGGACTGACACGTGCCGTTCAACCCCGACGGGACCGCACGCTCGTCGAGTGCCGAAATTCTTCACCACTTCCTTGCCTCTCCCAACACCGTCCCTTCTTCCCGCCCGTATCCTCTCCTCTTCTTCTTCTTCTTCCCTTCCTCCCGGACACTCACCACCATCCGTCCTGGATGTTGGCCCCCAGCCCCATTGGGGGGCGGGGGGCCAATACTTGACCCTAGTTTATTTTATCTCGCAAGAGGGTGTATGTCCTAAACGCTCCTCCGCCCGTCTGTGCGACGTAGGGCAACCAATTCGGTCCGAGGGTCTCAGTTTCTCCCATCCGCTCGGCCTCCACACGGCCACACAGAAGGAAGTACTGCACCGACATCATTCGCAGAGTATCTGGGTTTGTGATGCTCTAGCTTGTCCCTACCCAGCGAATCGTACGCTCTTCCCCGTCCATCCGCCCTCTTTGCCACTCTCTTCTGCTCAGATTGTTTCGGGGAGGGTGGAGTAGGTGAATATTTCAGGGGTTGGGGGGGTGTACTCGTGTAAACGCATGACGTAGTTGTGGGACCATTGAAATCGCATCACCACCATGCCGGGACGGAATGATATGCCGAGATTTTGCCGGCATGGGCTACGTTTCACAAGAACGAACCAGAAGCTGGTATTCATCTTTGCGTTTGGTGTGCCAAACAAGTAGGCCACGAGGTGACGGGGCATCCGGGTAACCAAACGTTTCACATTCGGCAGGCACGATTGTATTTCAAGTACCGCAAGGGACTTCGATCTTTGTGCGCCTGTACGCAACAGGTGCGCCACGTACAGCGAACACGTCGCATCTGCTCATATACTCCAAGTGGAAAAGTTCCAGGTGGAGCACTTCGCAACTATTTTTGCTCTAGGGGCTTTCCAAACTGTCTATCTATTCAGCGGACATCCGATTTGGTGTGAACTCTAGGATCGTAGCCCACTAGCTCACATGATGTACACCCCATGCCTAACACAGCAGTTTTACAGCTCTACGCCATAAGAGCCAACCGTATTTCGACCAATCCACCCTCGAACCTCAAAGGCGGGGGGGTTATCGATCTCAGTGCTAGCGGGAAGATTCCAGGGTCATTCACCAAAGCGGCGTTACCCACAACCAATTTTTTCGCAACCTGGATTGGCTATTCTCTGGTGCGTTTTCTCGATGCGCTTTTGCTCTATCGCGTGAAAGTCCTAGAACGAGCACCATTTCTGAAGGACCGCGAATCATCCCGCAATTTGTTCGTCGTTCTATTCGTGTGAGGTCGGATTGTTCGCGGCAGCCTCAGCATAAAAGTCTATCCTCGCTTTGCCACCCCGGAGATTTAACGAAGTCGAGAAGTATGCATACAGTATATCATCCATGGCACGTCTTTGCCTCGTAGAATGGTTTTTGCTAAAATAACGCTGCTGCGGTGGTCCTCGAGTCTTGGTTTGTATTTCTTTCCTTTGATGCCTGTGACAACAACAATTAGCAGCACTGGGTCTCCCATCTGTTCAGAGTGAGAGAAAACTTCGATCTTCTCCGACCGGATACCTACTGCAGTCTAGACGAACAAAACAAGCGCGACGCCCAGAGAAGGCGTTCGGCGAGCTGAGTGAAGGGCAAGCATATCCCCTGACCCGCTTCCGAGAGACTTGGTCGCCTCTTGCGGTTTAAGTCTTGCGTGGATGGGTGTTGGTTGAGCTTTTCCCGGCCACCACTTCTAGAGATCGATCGCCAGCCGTAGTGACACCTTCATTTTGGCCAAACGGGAACTTGAACATGTTCGCACCGACATCAGGCAGCCTAGCGGTATTTGCTGACCCTGGTGCTAAGTGTTGAGGTATGTCGCGGATGATGCGGAGGTGGGGGGCGCTCGTCGTTTTTTCTTCCTCAACGATTTCAGCAATCGACCACTAGGGATGCTGCACCTTGCACTGCGAGACTGCGAATTTCTGATGGACGTGGCTTTTCGTAGCCAAATTTAAAATGGATGACGGCTAACAGGAGCGTTTCCTCCAAATATCGTGCATCTCTCCCCATGCGCGCCTCTCTCCCACGTGCACTATCTTGGCGTTGTTTACTGCTTCTATTGCGCAATCAGCGGAAAGCTGGATTCGCCCTGCGTGTCTGTTGGGCCTCCTGATCGCACCTCAATTCCCAGTTAAGGGCGCTGGGACCGTCGCTTTTGCGAATGGGAGAACTATCGACGCGGACGCCTCGGACGTATTTTGTATTTTCGCGGCGGACCTAGATGGTGATGGGGACCAAGATATATTGGCGGGTTCCTACTACGACCCTTGGCTGAATTGGTACGAAAACGAGGACGGAAACGGTACGTTTTCGGAAACCGCCCACGTCGTCAACACCTCTGACTACGAGGGAGCAATGTGAGTGGTGCGTTTGATCCGACCGTGCAATGCTGAGGAGAGGTTGGTTTTATCCGTAAAAGGTAACGTTTCGGAGTGGAAAACCATGGGAATGCTGAACATGTAAAGACCCCGTCGGTGCCAGGCATAATAAATCACGGAGTTCGTGAATACTCACTATGCGGAGCTGGGGTTCTCTGCCACGCGCCACTCTACCCACTTGCCCTCGGTTGAAGAACGATGACAGTCATTGACAATGCAGTGGAAGCCCAGACTTCTGCCCACAAAAGAACGGTGGTGCAGGTTCCCGGGAGAAGTTTAGCTATCTTCGACCCTCTCAAGGTTGTGTACGCCTCGCCTCTCGAGCTACGGTGAGTTGTCCGTTGTTTCCCGGGAGGGGAAAAAGGATCGACCGAGGCGTCGATCTCCCGTGCTTTCCCTCGCGCTTGCCCAACGCAGGTCGATTGACGTCGGCGACCTGGATGGCGACGGGTTCCCTGATGTTGCAGTAGCATTTCAACTCTCCGATCATGTGGTGTGGTTTCGGAATGCAGACGGTCAGGGTGGATTTACGACCGGCACTGATATCGATACGGACGCGGGAGGTTCGCCTTCAAATGTCAAGCTAGCCGACGTCGACGGGGATGGGGACTTGGACGTAGTATCCGCATGGAAGACCGGCGGTAAGTGCGTCTGCTGCGCATATTGAAGGCGTTTCATAGACAACGAATTTCGTAGTCTCCGTTGTACCGTCAGTCACGCATAAAACCTTCGTTGTTCATCGTTCATTTCTTGTCTTTGCTAGCACTATAGCTCATCTTCGATGTCTCGCCTGTTGTACAGGCAGCCAAGACGCAATAGACTTGCCCGAGCCCAACCCTAAGTTCCACCAGCTTGCAAAACAACCGGAAGAGGTGGGGTGGGGGACTCGTGGCGTCAACAACTGACGAAAGACTCGATTCAAAGGAATAGAAGAAACAGAGAAATCGTTTCAACAACAGAAGTTTCGGCGTTGATGCTACACATGCGCGCGTGGGCTCCGGAAGAATAACGACGCGGAGGATGGCCAACAAGGCATGGCGAGCACACGGACTTCCGTTAGCCAAAGAAAACGCCCCGCCACGATGGCGTCTGAATCTCATCTGGTCCTTCCTCTTGTCTGTGGTGTCGATTGGCTTTCGTTCATTCATTGGGATTCCATGCCATTAAGGCACCGTGTCATCGCCGTTGCCGTTCCCTGAGTACAATGGAAAAGTCCCTTCTCCGGAACCATACGTGAAATACGCCGCAGATCGAGTTACATGGTATGAAAACGACGGAGAAGGAACGTTCGCGATCGGCCTTGATCTTTCGACAACGGCCGATGGTGCTTACGGGCTGGCGCTGGCGGACCTAGATGGAGACGACGATCTTGACGTCGTGTCAGCATCCGTTTGGGATGGGTTGGCGTGGTACGAGAACTCGGACGGCAACGGGGTATTCTCGTTCGGCATCAGCTTGGAACGTGGGGAACCTGCCAAGTGAGGTTACTCTGCGGTGTAGCTGATCCACGATAGAAAAGGCAATATGTTTTAGACGTCTCGTTGATGATGTATCTTCCGTGATTTGTCTGTTTCTCAAGCATTCCCGGAGCCGGAACGAAAAAAGGACCCTTTATATTTTTTATGAACGACCAATAAAACACGAAAAATTTCACGGAAGAGTGCTTTCTTGCAAATATATGGAGGCGTTTTCCCCCGATCCGTGAAAGTAGCGAGCAGTTTTTTTTGGGGGCTTGCTGCTTTCACGGATCCGGGGAATTTGACACAAGGGTCGGGCAGGGTCGGGCAGGCGCACCGCGGGCGGGCGCTGTAACATCACTGAGAACGCTCGCAAGACCTGCTAGACTCACGTCCAGGTCTGTTGTGGAGACGGACAAGCGGCAGAAGTCGCGTTCAGTCCGTTCTTGGTCCAAAACGAGACACTTCGTGGTGCTCGCGTCTTCAACTGCTGCTGTTGGTGCTGGAGATATTTTGTCAATCAAACATAGCAAACACGGAAACAGCAGAACGAGTACAGCAGCAGCACCAAGACCTCCAACGCGTTGATTCCTTCGGTTCGGCTGTCTATATGATACTCACTCCCGGCGCTGTGCTGCTTCGTGGGTATTGGGGGCTTGGATGTGCTGCTCAATAAGGTGTGTGAGAGACGTGTGCCACCTCACCAAAATGCCGTTGGAAAAAATGCGGCGAGATGATGTGTGTTTGGTCGGACACATCAACATCAATCCACGGCACCACGCAGCAGTAGAGCAATAGGGCCTCCGACACGCTAATTCGTTCGGATTGGCCATCTATATGATGCTGCTCTTTAGTGAGCAAAACCAAGTCAACCTGTTGTGTGCCGAGCGTGTATTCAGGGAAGGAAACGTACTTTTGCGATGACATCACGAATAGACTAGAACAAGAGAAAAATAATTGGGGTTTCTTTTCACCGTTCCGTGAAAAAAATCGTGAATTTTCCGTTGCGTTAGCAATAGGCCTAAAGTAGAAACACAATGTCTTCTCGTGAGATGGCCATTGATGGTTCCGTAGGACTGTTCAACATCTGTAAACAGTGCACCACGGAGCATTTCCCAAGACTTCAGCGCCTATTGTTCGGCGACCTCTCGTACACGGGGCAGTCTATGGCATTGTCGGGATACTGCCCTAGACACCCCTCTCCACGCCCTTGTTCTTGTCGTACGCCCGGCGTTCGTACATTGCTTGGGCAATGCAGGCGCATCGCGAAAGCCATTTGCTATTCACATTGCGTGAAACTCTTGGTGTGTATGTTATTCCCTCCTTTGATTATTTTCTGCCCCCTAGAGTTTTGTCCACCCCTACACCTGTTTGCTCACTCAAGCATGACGTCGGGGCCCGCGTCCAAGCCATGTTTTCGCGATTTCGTCGGATGCCGTAATATTATTACTGCAACAGGGACGTCGTAACGGCGGATCTCGACGGGGACGGCGATCTCGATATCATCGCTGCATCCTACGACGGCAGTCACGCCAGTAGTAATTACTACGACGGCCGAATATTCTGGATCGAAAACACCGACGGCGAAGGAACGTTTGGAGAAGGCGAAGACATCGACTCGCTGGACTCCGCGAGGATTGTGGTGCCTGTGGATCTCGACAATGACGGGGATGTTGATCTGGTGGCCTGCGACAACGTCGGGGGGCGGGTAATGTGGTATGAAAACACAAACGGGCAGGGGAACTTTTCGGCCGCCATCGACATCGCCATCGACTCCGGGGTAAACATGGTGAGTCGGGACAACGCCTGCCTCAACGCCCAAGGGCGCTCTCTCGATCCTAAACGGAACTAGAGCTTACTCGACGATGCCTGTATAGTGATACGGCCCTTTCTCGGCGCGGCGGTGCATCGCGGCGACGACTTGTTGCCGCTGTGTATAGTGGCTCCGTATTTCCACGACGAGTTTAACCCTCCCCGGAAAACGACAGCAGTACTGCTGTGGTGACCAGCGTAGGGGGCTCCTGGGCAGACTGGAGAGCTTGAAAACGATAGCTCGGTATATGTGGTTCGTAGAAAAGTATGTAGCTGATGGACCCAGGTTCAAACCCCGGGGTCTGGCAACGTTTCTCGTTTTCAATTTTTGTGCGTTTCTCTCGGCATCGACGGGGTGCTGACGAGGAGTTACGGTCAAAGGTAGCGGAGAGTATGCGGTTTGACAGTACCCAAACGTTCGTGCTTGCTGCTGTCCAAGTGCTATCAAACCCTTCAAAACGGTCGAATATGAGCGGCCACAACAAAGGCGTACGGGACGTCTTACGATGGCGTTTTTGTTGCCATGGCATATTGCATGGATGCTTTCCACTATCTCCATATTCAACGGCGACCCACCGTTAGGCATGAAACGAGAACCGCGAACTTTGCGCCGGGAGGGGGAGCGTGGGCGGGATGATCCATCGTTGCTGGCATTTGGTTTTCATTCTCCCCTTCTCGGTCTCCATGGACGCCTCATTCCCACACCAACACTTGTTCCAGGTGATTGCGGTTGACCTCGATGGGGACGATGACTTCGATTTATTGACCGCTAGTCGGGATAGCGGCCGCGTGATCTGGTACGAAAACCTGCTCGCAGAAGACGGTGACAGCGGAGCAACATCAACAACGCCAGCGCCGCTCCCCATCCTTGCTCCAACACCGTCGATGGCCCCGACCCTGGCCACGAGTGCCCCGCCCTCATCACGAGCATCACCAGTCACCGGCACCACGTGTGAGGCAAAATCAAAACTAGGGAATCGGGGCACAAGAAACGATTGCTGGAAAACAGCTGTTAGTGGAACCGGTGGATAGTATTACAATATAATGATCGCCTTCACGTCACACTCGTCTCTCCCCCCCCCCTCCCTTCTCCGCACCAATCTTCACCCCGAGTGGAATCTAAACCTTGCGACGACATCACTAACCGACACACCTTCCCCGTGCAGTACTCCTGCATCGGTCGAAGCAGAAGCAGTTGTAGGCAGACCTACTACGACTGGGTGTGAAAGACTAAATCTTGGGCATGTTTCTTTCCGTGAGTTGATTCCCGATCGAGTTCAGGGCAAACCTCACCGTCTATTCCCACCTTTGATAACGTTAAGCATCACGGACCGCCACCATCGGTGAAAACGTGCGAAATTCAAAGTGAATCGCCTCTGTCGACATTTCGACATGCGTATGCTGTAGCATGGCCTACACAACAAGTCGTGTTCTTATATCGAATGATTCGTGTTCTTTTCGACTGGGCAATATCGCTCAGCCGTTGTTAGCCACCCGGCAACGGAAAACAAGCGCTGGTTCGATGGAAACAAACTTAGGGGATCGAGAGAGGGCGAGACGGTATTGACAACAGTGATCCACACTACGTCACACTCCTTCCTTCCCTCCCTGCCTTCTCGAAATTTGCGACGGCATCGTGCAGCTCCTTCTGCACCGGTCGAAGCGGAACTAACTTCTGCACCGGTCGAAGCAGAAGCAGGTGCAGGTAGGACCGCTGGACGCGAAAGGATAGACTTGTGTATGTATGTATGTATGTATGTATGTATGTATGTATGTATGTATGTATGTATGTATGTATGTATGTATGTATGTATGTATGTATGTATATTCGTGAGTTGGCTGCCTGCGGAGGTAAAGACTAACGCCACTGTCTATTCCTCATGTTGATTGCGGGGGTTGAAACCCCGTTTTCATTTGAGCAACTAGGGCCGCCCTCGTCGGTGATACATGTGAAATTCGGATCAAGTCGCTACCGCTGACGTTTGAAA